GCCTCTGCCATGATCTGCCTCCCCCCCCGCCCCCGCCATGGCCTTCCCCTGGACCCACCCATTGATTGCTCAAGCAACCCCACCACCAGACCCAGAGCCCTGGGCATGCAAAGCAGTGAGTGTTTATTCATTCACGCATATAAGTCGTCCCAGGAGTGAGTCTTCTCAGGAGCTCTATGCCTATGCACTCCCCTGCCCTGGGACATCTTGGAAACCGTTACTGGAGCAGAGCTCTTCGATCCCGCAGGGAATGGGTCAGGTCCCGGAGCGATGCGCTGCAGGACAGAGGTGAAGGTAGCCACAAGGGAAAGGGCCCAGAACACAAGAGAGGACAAAAGGGACATCCAGCTGGACAGGGGATATAACAAGAGTCAATGGGACAGAGGGTACAACAGAGGGATAATCAGAGAAAGGGAAAGGGAGCAGGACAGCACTGGGGGAAAAAAACAGCTGTGATGAACAGCAGGACAGAGAGACAGAGAAAGAAAAATTACTGAGGAAGAGAGACAGGAAAGAAGGAGAGCCAGCTGGACAGGGGGATATAACAAGAGTCAATGGGTCAGGGAACAGGGCAAAGAGAGAAAGACAGAAAAAATAAGAAAAAAGACAGAGGGGACAGCAAGAGGCAAAAAAAGGGACAGGGATTTGGCCAGAGATAGAGGAAGAACCAGTAGGAACAGAAGAAAAGAGATAAAAAAGGGAGACAGGGAGCAGGACAGAGCTGGAGAAAGCAGCAGTAGGGACAGAGGGGTAGAGAGAAATAAAGACAGAAGAAAGGACAGAGAAACAAAAATAAGGACAGGAAATAGGACAGAGATGGAGGGAAAAAACTGGGATGAGCAGTATGACAGAGGGAGTAAAAAAAAAAATAGGGGCAGGGAGCAGGACAGAGAGATATAGTGAGAAACCATGGGACAGAAAGGACAGTGACAAGATAAAAAGCAAGAGGGAGCAGGACAGAGAAAAGGGGCGGGGGGGGGAAGGACAGAGAAACAAGGAAGGAGGGTCAGAGAGCAGGACACTGGAATAGAACAAGAAAAAGGACGGGGAGCAGGACATACAGAGACAAAGAAAGGGAACAGGACAGGGGGACTGAATAAGAGAGGAGGGTGCAGATCAGGACAAAGAGATGGAGAAGGAGAAAAAACAGTGATGGAGAAAGAAGAAATAGGGACGCAGAGCCCTACAGAGGCATTGAGAAAACAAGTGGGAGACAGGGAGACAGAAAATAGGACAGAGAGAAAAAGACCAGAAAAGGGAGCTGGACTAAGTGAGGGGCGAGGGGGCAGGGGGGGGTTAGAACAGATTATCAGAGAGGGAAACAGAGGGATGGCAACCAGGACAGTGGGACTGAAAGACAGAAAGAAGGGGAGCAGGACAGCAAGGTGGAGTGAGGAAAAAACACAGATGGGAACAGACAGAAGAAAAAGCAAGAAAGAGCTGAATAGGAAGAAGGATAGTGAGATATAGATATAGAAAGAAAAAATAGCAACGGAGAGCAGGGAAGAGGGATAGAGAGAGAAAAACAAGGACAGGAAGAAGGACGGAGGGATAGAGAGAAAAAGAGAGCCATTGGGGGACCAGGACAGTGGGACAGAGACAGAAAGGAACAGGGTGCAGGACACAAGAATACAGAGAAAAACAGATACACAGGGAAGTGGGGAAAAAAAAACAGAAAGAAAGGGGCAGTGAGCAGGACAAAGGGATGGAGAGAAAAAGAGAAGGATGGGGAGCAGAGCAGAAAGCTGGAAAGAAAAGATACTGCTGGGGAGGACAACAGAAGGACAGAGCACAAAAGAGAAGAATGAAAAGCAGGGTAGTGGGATGCAGAAAGAAAAAATAGTCATAGGGAACAGGACAGATGGATAGAGAGGAAAAAAAGGAAGGACAGATGGATTGTCAGAGAAAGAGAGGGACAGGGAGCAGGTCAGAGTGTCAGAAAAAAAGGACAGAGCAGGACAGACGAATAGAGGAAATAATACCGATGGGGAGCAGGACAAAGGGATGGAGATAAAAAGGAGGGGAAGGATGAACAGGGGATAGAGAAAGAGGGGCTAGAGAATAGGACAAAAAGGACAGGGAACAGGACAGGGGGACTGAGAAAAGAAAAGAAGTACGCAGATCAGGACAAAGAGATGGAGAAGAAAGAAACAGCAATGGGCTGCAGGACGGAGACAGAGGAAGAGAAAAATGGGTCGGGAAGCAGGACAGAGGAAGACAGAGAGGAAAAAAGGGACAGCCAGCTGGACAGGGGGATATAGTGAGAAACTATGGAACAGGCAGGAGGACAAAGGCAGAAAAAATACGGAGAGAAAGCAAGACAGAGGGATGAGGAAAAAAAAGGAGGAGGGAGCAGGACAGAGATGGAGAAAGAAGCAATAGGGACAAAAGGATAGAGAAGGAAAAAGACAAACTGGATGAAGGACAGAGGGACAGAAGAAGAGAGTGACAGGACCAGGACAGTGAGGTGGAGAAAGAAAAAAATAGCAATGAGCAACAGGACAGAGAGACAGACCAACAGATGAGGAGCACGACAAGAGGGATAGAGAGAAAGACCAGGACAGGTAATGGGGTGGGGAGACAAGGAGCACAACAGATGGATAGAAAGAAAACAAGAGGGGAGGAGAGCAATACAGCACTGTCATGGAAGAGGGATGGAGCAGGCAGAGCAAGAACAGAGAAAAACAGAGGTACAGGAAGTAGAAGAAACATGGCAGAGAGAGGGAGGGAGGGAGGCGTTGGGAGCGGGGGGGGAGAGAGGGAACAAAATAGCAATGGACAGAAGAGAGGGGCGGATAATTAAACAATATCTCTAAGGAGAGAACAGAGGGACAGAGTGAGAGAAAAGAGGGACAGGGAACGGCATAAACAAAAACAGAAGGAAAGAGCGGGGGAAAGGACAAGACGGGGGTGGAGAGAGAAAGAAACTGGGATAGAGAAAGAGGAACCCAGAGAAGGACAGAGATGGCAAAATAAAAACCAGTGAAGAGTAGCAAGACAGATGGAGCAAGAAAAAAAAATAGGGCCAGGGAGCAATACAGAGAAAATGGAGGAAAGAAAGAGACACAGAGCAGGACAGAGGAAACAAATACTGATGGGGAGCATGACAGAGGAAGAGAGAGAGGAAAAAGGGACAGCCAGCTGGACAGATGGATATAGCAAGAAATGATGGGATGGACAGCGGGACAAAGGCAGGACAGAGATGGACAAAGAAACATTAGTGACAGAAGGACAGAGAAAGAAAAACACAGATGAGAAGGACAGAGGAATAGACAAAAAGAGTGACAGGATCAGAACAGAGAGAGGGAGAAAGAAAATCCAGTGATGAGCAGCAGAACAGAGGGGGGGAGAGGGAAAGAGAAGGGCAGGAGGACAGCCAGACACAGAAAACCAGTGAGGGACAGGGAGTGAGACAATAGGATTCAGAGAACAAAGAGAGGGACAGGGAGCAGGACACTGCGACAGAGAGAATGAGAGTGACGGGGAGAACAACAGTGAGTTGGAGCAAGAGAAAAACAGGGACAGAGAGCAGGATGAAGATGGAGCAATACATAATAGGGACATGGAAAAGGACAGAGCAATAGAGACAAAAAGAGAGGAAGAGGTAGGACAACAGAGGACCAGAAAAAGAAGAGACAAGGGACAGGGAACCACACAGAGGGACAGAGAGAAAAAGAGAGTGACAGGGATGTAAAGAATAGGGACACAGAGCAGCACAGAGGCATAATAAGATGCACAAGGATAACAACAAAGCGACAAAGACAGGGACAGGGAGCAGAAGAGAGGGATGGGGAGCAGGGCAGAGGGACAGAAAGAGAAAAATAAGAAGAGGAAGGAGGACCAAGGAACAGAGAGAGAAACAAAGGTACAGGGAAAAGGATGGAGAGATGGAAAAAACAGTAAAAATAGGGATGAAGTGTCCTGCAGAGAGATGGAGAAATTTTTTAAAAAAATGACAGCGACCACAATGGAGGGAGAAAGAGAGGGACAGGCAGAAGTACAGAGGATAGAGCAATATGGGGATGGGGAGCACAACATAAAGACAGATGGAGAATAAAGAGGACAGGGAACAAGCCAGAGAGATTGAGAAAAACAGGAATGCAGATCAGGACAAAGAGATGGAGAAGGGAAAAGTGGTAATGGGCTGCAGGACAGAAATGGAGGTAGACAAAAAGAGGGACAGGGAGCAAGACACAAGAACAGAAAGGCAAAGAGAGCAATAGGGACCAGGACTGAGGAGCAGAGATGGACAGGGAGCAGGACGCAAGAATAGAGAGAAGAGCAGAGATAGAGGGAAAGAAAAAAAGACAGAGGAAAAGAGAGGCTCAAGAACCCACACAGAGGGACAGGGAGCCAAGCAGACAGATGGACAGGGAAAGAGAGACAGAGGGATGAAGGACAGAGAGAGACGGTGGCAGAGACAAACAGAGAGATGGGCGGGGATCTGGAGGGGTGGCAGATGCAGAGGGGGCAGGGAGACACCAGGACGCAGATGAGTGAGACATGGCCCTAAGGGCCTGGGACTCACGACAGCTCCTGCTTTCAGCACTGCCCACAGAATTTTCCAGTTCTGATGCTCCTTTCTCTGTCTGTTTCTCTCTCTCTCCCCCTTCCTCTTCTGCAGCTCTAGTCACTTGACTGTCCTCCACCTAAGAGAACACAGTAGTACCTTATAGCTCTTGCAATACGAGGCTTCCTAGATGCACAGCCTTGCACGCACACAGGCCCTCCCCATGGCTGTACCATGCTTTTGGATATGCATACAGACCCCGTGGTGCTTGTTGGCGATCTGGTCTGCTGAGGACTACTCAGAGGGACCCTTCCTCACTCAGAAAGGCTGGCTGTCTCTTGTCTGTGGCTGGAGGCACCTTCTAGCTCAATCCCCTTGATTTCATTCTCCAGCTGCTTTACCGTTTTCTAGCCTCTTAAGCTTCATCCACAGCAGCTCCTGTGGATGATCCAAAGCTAGTAAGTGTCCACTGGTCTCTGGTCCAAACAGGGGCAGCCCACACAAACCTGAGGCAGTCAACAACAACCACGGGGAGGAACAGACAACTGAGTCCTCAGCACAGCCTCTGGGAGAGGAAGAAGACAGGCAGCCGTTACCTGTAGGGTCCATCACAGCTCACACCAGCAAAAGCTCCCAGAGATGGCGCTTTCCCCACACGGACGCTCCCAGCACCTGCATTAAGGGGCGATAAAGCGCTTTCAAGGCAGCCGGCTGCTGTCAGCAAGGGGCCGGGCGGCGGGGGGGGGAGGGGTCGTCGCCTGGCGGTGCCCTTGACGGGGGGACAGAGGGTTGGGGCCCCTCTCCTTGCAGCGGGACGAGGCGCAGGAAATCCCCCTCCCCGCCCTCTCCTGCCCGCGTCTGCCGCCCCAGGGAGCGGTCAGGAGCCGCCCCTCACCCGCGGCCGCCGAAAGGTCCCGCCGACTGCCGAGGACGGGAAACGGGCCCGGCCGGCGCCGGCAGCCTCCCGACGTGCCTCGCGGCCCACGTGACCGCCCGGAAGCGCCTCACCCTCCGTTCCGGAAGACTACAGCTCCCGGCGTACCCCGCGCCCCATGTGACCGCCCGGGAGCCCCCGCCGCCCCGGGCCGTCCCCCGGCGGACTGGCATGGTCCCGGCCGCGGTCTCCTGGGCCCCGCTTGGGGGGCCGGGAGGGCAGTGGAGGACGGGTGCTCCCCCACCAGGCCCCTCTCCCCTGGGGTGCCCCCTGCTGCGGGGGAGGGTCACATCCCACGGGGCCACGCACACCTCCTGCCCGACACACACACACACACACGACAATTTCTGATTTTTTTTTTATATTTTATTATTTCTGCCATGAAAAGTACAAAGAGTCGAGTCCGGGGGTGGGGGCCTGCAGCCCGTCCCCTCCGGAGGCCCCGCTCCACCACGGGGGGGGCCCTGTTCACGGTCAGGAGGTTTCTCCCCATGTTGGGTCCCCCCAGACAAATGGTGGGGGGCTGAGGCGGGGGCCCCTGGGGTGCAGCTCTTATTGCTACTGAACCGGGGGTCCCCTCGGCCCACTGATCCTGCTGGGGCTGGGGCTGCCTGGAGGCCTGGGGCGGGAGTCCCCAGGGTGGAGCTGCCCGGGGTGGGGTCAGAGTTTGGAGGGTGGAGGCGGCCCCGGGGGCCTGAGTCCCTTGCCCACCCCCAGGGACGTGCGCACACATAGGCAGGGGGAGTAATAAATATTTACATTAACAATAAGTTAAAACTACAAGAAGCTGCAAACGGGCACGACACGACGCAACGCAAAAAGCAGGACCTGGGAGGGGTGGGGTCCCAGGGTACCCAGGAGGGACAGGGGGTCCCCGGGGCCCCGAGGCTGGGGAAAGCCAGCGAAGAATCGGAAATAAATAGGAACCGAAACCACTGAAAAGCAAGAAATTATCCCGACGGAGAAGAGAAAATAAATAATAATAGCAATAGTAATAATAACAACAACAACAACAAGAACAACAACAACAATAATAATAACAATAATAATAATAATAATAATAATGAGGATGGGGCTGCTATGGGGAAGACAGCCTGTTGGGAGGGTTGGGGGTTTCGGGGGGGGGTCTGCCCTTTTCTTTGGCCACAACACTCAAACTGGCCAAGCAAAAGCACCCACCCCAGCAAGCTGAGGAGGCTGGGGCAAAAAAAAGCCCATTTTGGGGTATTTGGAGAAGGATGGGGACAGGGCAGTGTGGACAAGACACACACACACCCCACACACACCCAGTTTGGGGGTGCCGGAGGCTTGGGGCAGCAGGACCCCCTGGCAGCCTCAACCTGATGACATTTTAGTGCCATCAACCACCACCACCCCCCAAAATGTGCTGTGACCGTGCTTGGGGATTATAACGTCTGGCCCTGCCTCCAAGCAACTGGGGTGGCACATAAAAGATTCTCACACACACCCCCCAGCCCCTGCAACTTCCCTCCAGAGGGGTGGCTTTGGGGGACTTCAGGGGATTTTTTTTTTTTTTTTTTTTTTTCTTCTCTTACAAAAATAGATGGGTTTGTGTCTGTCGCTCTGGAGGAGTCACCGCGTGCTGTGTCGGTCTCTCTCCTCGCTACCGTTAGCGCTACCATTATTGTTATTATTCGTTATTGTTTGTTCTTTCTCCCAAAAAAATTTCCCCCTCCAAAAAAAGAAACAAATTGGAAAAAAAAAAGGAGAGAGAGCAGACACCTCCCCCGGACTCCTGGACCGGAGGGGAGGGGGGCACGGCCCCCGCTTGGCACCAGCCTGGGGACAAAAATGAGCCGAATCGGGTGCTCTGATGGGGGTCCCTCCCCGGGGCAGCAGCCGGAGCCGGGGCTCGAACCCACGTATCCCAGGCGCCGCTCCGGGTGGTCCGGCCACCGCCAGAGCGCGCCGCCGCAGGCGGGCGCCGCGCCGGAGGCGTGGTCTCCCAGCTGGGGGCGGGGTCAAGCCCCAGGACATCGGGGCGGGGGGGCTTAGCTGTAGGGGCGGGCCCTCACGGAACCCGGGGCGGGACTCCCCGCTTTCCCTCCCCCACGATATTCCCGGGAGCAGCTCGGTCCCGGGGGACCCTGTGGTCTCCACAACCCACCCCAGCCTCGCCCCGGTGGGGGCGGGACACCCTAAGGGGGGGGGGAGGGAGGATCCCACTTCTCTCCATTTGGGGGTGCATGACCCCCCAGAGGAGGAAACAAAGGGGGGGGGGGGGTGTTGGTCTGGCACCTGCCCCAGGGAGTGCTGGGGGTCCCAGGGATCCCCAAGGTACCTGGGCTCGCTGGGGGTCGCCGCGGCTTCCGGGTGCTGGGGGAAGGGGCAGGGGCCCCCACCTGCAGGGTCTCCGCAGTGCCCATGGGGGGGGTCCCCCAACATCTCTGGATGCTGGGGGCTCCCCAGGGTCTTTGGGGTGCCCATGGCACTCCTGGAGACTTGGAGGTGACTCCAGTCAGGTGACTCACCTCAGGTGTCTCCCCATACTCCTTCACAATTCCCAGGGTTTTTGGGGTGCCTGGGGGGGTCCCCAGTGTGCCCTGGGGGTTCTCCAGTCTTTCCAGGTTGGTGGGGCAGGAGAATCTTCAGGGATGCTCCCAGCATCTCCATGCCCCCACAGTGTCCAAGAGCTCTGGGGCACCTGGGGGAGTCCTCAGGGTGTCCATGGTGCCTAGGGGAGAGAGATGGGGTATCCATGGTATCCAGGCTGTCCTTCGGGCATCCCCATGGTGTCCTTGGTGCCCATGGAGGAGGTCCCCAAGGTCTCCAAGTGTCTGGGGGAGTTCTCCATGGTCTCCAGGGCAGGGAGGTCCCCACAGTGTCCTTGGTGCCTGGAGGGTGTCCCCAAGGTCTCCAGGTGTCCAGGGGGGTTCTTCATGGTCTCCAGGGTGTCCTTGGTGCTCATGGGGGTCCCCATGGCCTGGTGGTGCCAGGGGACCCGGTCCCGGGGGCTGGGGGGCCAGCAGGGTGTGGCTCAGGCCTTGTGCTGTTTGCTGGTCTTGAAGGAGACCTGGAGCACACGGTCGCCCAGGCGGTAGCCATTGAGGCTGGCGATGGCCATGGCCGCCTCCTCGTAGTTGGTCATGGTGACGAAGCCAAAGCCCTTGCACTTGTTGGTGGCGAAGTCACGGATAACCTTGACGTTGGTGACAGCACCAAAGGGCCCGAAGAGCTGCCAGAGGACACTCTCATCCGCCTCGGGTGCCAGGTTGTAGACGAAGATGCACCAGCCAGTGCCGGGGGCCCCCAGGCCCACCCCGGCCAGCCCTGGCACCGCCTCGATGGCCAGCGGGGAGAACCTGGGCAGCAGTGACAGCGGGCTGGCCTGGGGTCAGGGTGCCTGGACACTGGGTTCACCCCCAGGACACATGGGTCCCCTCCTGCCAGGGTCCCCAGCATGTGCATGGGGCTGAGGGTGCAGAGCTGG